CAAATTGCATCATGAAAAATGAATAGAAATTGCAGTCTCTCCACTCAAGATGTAATACACTGTCTATGAATAGAAGGGTGTTTGTTATATAAAGGAAATAAAATAAATATACGACCTATTTCAATGAATTATTTCTCAATATTAAATTAATAATATAAGAAATTTTGAAAACAATCTATTTAGTAACAAATTTTTGTTTATTTCTATATTCTTCGTTTATTATTTTATTACGATTAACGTATTAAATACGTTTCAAGTTTCTAAGAAGATATATATTTTTAGTTTGATCTGAAATTAAGATGATGTTTTTGCCTAAATTTGGAAAAAAAAATGAAAAATTACAAATAAATCCTAAAAATAAGTCTCGAAAAGCGGTTTCATATCTTTTTTTTTTCTTTTTATTATTCTGTTTCAAATTGTTCCTCATTATTCAATTAATAAACTAATAATTACATTTATCTATAACACATTTTTATTAACAAAAATTCAAATAATTTGTCAAATATCCTGTTATATTTATTTTAAGGTATAATTGCACAATACAAATATATCATTGATTGAATTTATTGATAAACAGAAACATCTTACTTAAAAAACCTTAACTTAGATGTATGAAAGTCCTTAAGTTACTAATTATTGAACACTTATTCATAAATCATCAATAGTAAACATAAAAAAGTAAAATCAGAACCTAACCATACAAATAGTTGGAACCTTAGAGTTCAATCAGACGAAAGACACTTGTTTTAGTTAAGCAACAAAATTATTTAGGTTTGTAATTTTTTCATTCAGACATATTTCATGATACCCTAATCAAAAAGAATAAAAATAAAATTATAGCTATATAATTTTATAACTTCTCAAACAAAACAAATCGTATGAACAAATGAATAATTGTAATCTAAAACTTTTTGTATCATTATTTAGTTTTTTATTTCATTATTCTTTATTTGATAGTACAATAAATATGAGGACGAATATTCATTTTAGATGAAGTGTGTGATTTATAGAAATGGTTTTATGAATAAGTGAAAGTGACGATAATGTGTTTTTATAGAATGTAAAAAAACAATTCGAATTTACTTATGATATCAAATAAACGAATAATTGACAATTTTTATTATATTTTTATCAACAATTCAAAACCCTTAAAAAAAAAAGAATAAAATGAGTTTTGTAGAAAAATGAATAAGAAAAGGAAACAAGAATATTACGTAAAGAAAGTAAAATAAATGTATGAATATTGTGATACTGATCATAATAAAATAACATAAAAAACAAGACAAAAAACTAATTAAATAAAATAAAAAGGAGTTAAATGAGTGTTAATAGTTTTATTTTCTATTGTTCATTCTTCAGTACAGATTATTCACTTTCTTTTAATACTGTATGTTCATTGTCTAAGTTTATTATTTAGTTTTTAGTTGTTGAAATGAGAGTTAAAGTATTTCAGATATCTCTGGTTTAAATACTCATTGTTTAACTTCTTGTTTGGTTTTAATGAGTATTAAAATTCATACTTCCTTTCATGTTTTAAGAAGAATATATCATTATCATTACATCATATGAATAATTTTCATTTTAACATCAGCCATAACAACAGGTACTTTTTCGTTAATAATGTATATTGATAATACACATGTATCATAAAAATAAATAATATTAATATCTTTATAAATAAGTACGTATTTAATATAAATGATATTCAATCAACATAAATAATAATCACTGATATCCTTGCAAAATTAATTAAGATGTTTTCTAACTAATGGTAATACCATAACCAGATGATAGCTGGGGGGACTCGAGGGTTGGATATATTTTATGATTCTGTATAGTGTTTGTGACATACTACCTTTGAATCTCAAATACTAATTAAATAAAATATAAAATTTACTTCTAACTGAGTATTATTTTCATAGTACAATGAATAATTATCAATAATTCCAGAAGACTAAAAAGAGTTATTAGTAAATAAAGAAATATCTCCATAACATTGAATAAAGTGCTCACACATTTATTTTGTACTATTTGTTATATCCAACTACTATACAATATGACAAACAAATAACTTGATGATCATTTAAATAATAAGTTTATTTGAATATAAACCTTGGTGTAAATGAAAAATAGTGTAAACATAAACCAAATAATAGGCAGTGGACATAATAAACAAAAAATATAAGTATGAAGTAATTACATATTAAATAAGTTAACAAGAAGTGAATTATTTTTTCATTGAATCTACACAGTAAATATTAATTATTTTATAGCATTTTTGCTGTGAATAATATATTAATAAATTTGATTCAAATAGCTACTTGTAATTTAATATCGTCATTATCTTATTATTATTATTATTTAAACAACAAATATTAATGATTGATACTGACATTTTAAAAATCTTTTTTCCATAAATCTAATAATTTTAGTTTTTAGATAATAAAATAACAACTATAATATTAACAATGCTATTACAATAAATAATAAGACAGTTTAATGTGAATACATCATATACATTTAATACTTTTAAATGAGTAGTTATTTGTAATAAAAAGCTTTTAGTGTTAAAAAGTCTTTTTAACTCTTCCCAAAACTTTAAAAATATAAAATACGTTCAAATAAACGAATAATAAGTTATTAAAATTTTGAGAAGTTGTTTCTTTGGACATTGTTTTCATTGTCAAAAAACTTATGTGATAAAGTTAAAACAATAACATATTCAATGTATAATGTATATTACAATCTAAATGGATTTAAATATTTATTTTTGATGAACTGTTATATTTGCAATTTCTTTAACTTTATTGTTTTAGTTAAATATTATAAACTAAGTTTGTTTATTCCTTTGTTTTTGTTTCTATATGTATTTCAATCTAAAATTCAATCATTTCAATGTTATTGGATATTTTATATTATTCTATTTTCATTTACATTGTTATTTTTATTCAGTTTATTTCTTTTACAATTTTTATTTTGCTTTCCCCCTTCTACATACATGATATTATTTTTTATATTCTTTTGACTAATGAAATAACATTTTTGATGTATTAATTGTACTTCAGATTATTATTATTTTTATTATTGTTGCTAATATTTCTATTATCTTGTTTTTTTCTGTCTCTTTAACACTATCATCTTTTATTTAGGTCCTTTCACTTATTTCTTTTTTTACAATATTATTCAGTTGTTTATTCTGTATTTTTTTATTTTTTATTTTACAATCTTTTTATCTAGTATAACACATTAACTTTTTATATAAATAAATAATTAATAACATTATCTACTAGATTTTTATTTTCATTCTCAATTTCAGTATTATACTCTTTTCATATCTTTTCTATCATCTTATTTGATATTCTTTAATTTTATTATTTAATAAATATATTCATTTATAGATAGATACTTTTTATATATTATTTATTAGTTATTCTTTTCTTTGATTCCATTTTCTTTGTTTATGTCTCTTTCTAGTTTTTATTTTCAATTATTTCTTTTAATACAAATTTGTTTCTTGTTGTGTCTTTCTTCATTATCTTTAATATTCACCAATAAATTTATAATTTTTAACTTCTCTTTAATTTAGTTATTTTTCTGTTTCTAACTTTACTACTTATCTTTTCTTTTTATTTATTTTTTCCCATAATTGAAAAGTTTAGTAATTCTTCCTTTTAATAAAATTATTCGTTTGTTCATTTTTGAATTTATTTTTTTTTTTTGACTTAATTTTGCTTCTTTTTAGTTACTTGTTGCTTCATTAGTTATTTATTTTATTTACAATTTTTTAGCTCTGGTGAGATTTTTTGTAAATTTATCAAGAATTTAATAAAAAGCAAATATATTTTTACAGACATTTGAATCAAAGAAATGGTATCTAAAATTAATGAAGAATACGATTTTAATTAAATAAAAAGAAAATTATGATTAATCTTGTACCAATATTGATAATTGATATTCTAATATATTGTCAATAAAATGAATATTAGTAATAAATGATATCAATTATTGTATAATTTTCTGTATTAAAATTGAAAAATATTTATGAAGATAACTAGTATTGAATAATACCTGTAAAAATGAATATTTTCTTAGTATTAAATATTTCGCAACTTGTAAAAGTGAAAAAAATATTAAAGATAAATTTTTAACTGAAGAAAAAGAATCAAAATGGGATTTATATATAAAATAGTAGTAATCATACATTAATAAAGTACTAATTGAAAATATTAATATTAGAATTAATAAAAAATATATTATTTAATTTTAAAGATAATAATAAGTATATTTCAATATTAATGATTATTTTTATAAAAAGAAACATCTCAGTGAAAAAAATAATATAAAATATAGAATTAGAAATGACTGAGAATAATAAATAATAAATAATGAAAATATAGACATAATTCGTATAGTGATAATATTATTTATAAAATAACTAATAATAAACCTATAATTATTTATTAATATAATAATATTGAAAAATTAATGTAAAATATACTTCATTTAATTTAATGAACAATGCGTTTTTATACTAAATTATTATAAATTAATAAATTATTAGTAGAACATTATTAATAAATAGTGAAAAAATCTATAAAATAATGATTAAATGTTAAATAATTAAATTAGAATACCGTTTATAACATATTTAAATAATTTACAATAAGTAATAATAAATTGGCATTATACCTTTTAATGTTATAATACATCTTTTTAAATACAATACTTTGTTTAATATTATTGATTTATATAATATTTAACTCAACAAATTTATATAGTATTATATATAAATAACTGTGTATTTATAAAAGTACTATTATCAATTTAGTATGTTAAAATGAAAATAGCGAATGTTTATAATAATTTAATAAAAAACAT